AGCTTTCCCACTCACACTGACAAGCCCTGACCCTGAGGCCCACATAGGAAGGAGCCCTGTGCAGGTGACCATCAGGCACCATTACATCATTTCCTAGCCAGCAGGTCTTCTGTAGCTGCAGCCACACCTTTCACACACTAGAAGTCACTGATCACTCTCCATCTCCATCAGTGGCACTCATTAGTCCATCCCCTCCCTGAAGTCTGTCCGCTCTCCACTCCCAAACCCTCCCCAAGCTGAGTGAATGTTGGCAAGACTTCAGAAGCTTTCAACAGAGGCACAGTTACCAGGTGCTGATGAACAGAGACTCTGAATAGGCCACCTGAGCCCAACCAGCACACCTGGCATGTCCAGCATTTGACTAGTACCAGTTAGGAGAAGACAGCGTCCAGAGCGAATCAGTTTATAGCAAACGGCCCAGGTGGGTTTCAAAAGCCAAACCAGAATGATCACAATGAAAGGCTTTAAGAATTCTAGGGACTCTGGTGCACATGGCTTTTATTTCAAAGATCAGAGTGAGGCTATGACTGTTCTACCGAGTGATGCTGGCCCATCCTGGGGGCTGTGGGGAGACAGGGCCAGGTGCTTGAACTTGGGCAGGGAACAGTGCCACTGCCAGCCACTTGAGAAGATTCTGCCTTACTCAAGATTATATATCCTCCCTCCTCAGGAATGGCCCTCACCAATCACTGCAAGGTGCCAGGGCGCGGTCCCCTTGCCTCAATTTGGGACTTATGTGAAGGGCCCTCCTACTTTCAGAGCTCCTTGTGGGATCGGTTGAGACCTGTGTTGCAACTGCTTTGCAGCTTAACTTGTTTCTTTGCCACTCATATTTCATTCACTTCCAACAGGTATTGATCCAGAGAGCACATCCCCAGAAATGTGTGTGTTCAAGTTGGTCTCAGAGTCTCTTTCCTGGGGAGCCTGACCTACGATTCTCTCCCAGCCCCATCACCCAGTCATTGAAAGTTCATACAGAACTCTGATCAGTTCCTCAGGTCCACTAAGCTCTCTCTGATTTATGTGTCTTTGTACATACTATTGCTTCTGCCTAGTGCCTTTCCCACCTCTCCTCCCTGCTGTCCACCTATAAAGATAACTCCTATTCATTCTTCAAGTCTCAGCTAAGATGTCATCTCCTTTGGGAAGTCTTCCCTGATTCATTCACCAAGCTCAGATGTTCCACTTCTGTGATGCCATGGCATTCAGTGCTACTGCCATCACTGCAAAATTCAATAACTACAAAGCATTAAATTATGCATCCATGTGATTATCTCTGCTACTACACTACATCCTCTGTGAGGACAAGGAATGCATCTATCCTGTCTGTCATTGTATCCACAGTACACAGTCCAAGACCTGAAATACAATAGGTACTCTAAAACATTTGTTAAATAAATGAATAAAAAGTAGGAAATAAAGAAGCCCTATGTAAGGAAGTAGTATGTAAGGTAAAGGGATAAAAAGATAAAAGGATATATATATATTTAGGTGGTAAAATTAATAGCTTTTAGTGAATAATTGATTGATTAAACAGAAGAGTAAGAGTGAGGAAGAGTGTAGGATTACACCTACATTTCTGCATTTATAAGTAGGCAGGAGATGGTGCAATTTGGTGAGAGAGGAGACACAGAAATACGTTTAATTTTAAGTAGAAAGATAAGCAGAAACAGCCCAAGTTTGAGATACCTATTCTATATCCAAGTGCAAATGTCCAGTAGACGGGTAGAAATAGGGCTTGGAGCTCAAGCCCTGGGCCGGACTTGCAAATCATTAGTATATCACCCAAGAAATTCCCTTGTCAATTTACTTCTTGCCAAGAAATTCCTACAGACCCACTTTGGAGTTTCTCTCCATTTTGTCCCCATGTTGCTTCTTTATGCAACTCAGTAGGTGCTCATGTTAGTTTTCTGGGGCAGCTGTAACAAAATACCACAGACTGGATGGCTTAAACAACAGAAATTTATTTCTCATAGTTCTGGAGGCTAAAGGTCCAAGATCAAAGTGTCAGCAGTTTGGTGACTTCTGAAGATTCTCTCGTTGGCTGGCAGGTGGCTGCCTCTTGCTGTGTCCTCACATGGTACTGTGTGCACCCATATCCCTGGTATCTCTCTGTGCGTTCAAATTTCCTCTTTTTATAAGGATACCAGTCAGATTAGGGCCCACGTTAGTGTCCTCATTTTAACTTAATCCCATTTTAAAGGTCCTATCTCCAAATACAGTCACATTCTGAGGTACTGGGGAGTAGGGCTTCAACATATGAATTTTTCAAGGGGCACAATTCTGCTCATTTCTTCTCCCCCTCCTTGCCTATCACCACCCCAGAGGCAGCCAGCCCATGCCTGTCCACCATAGCACCAATGTCCATATAAGCCTTTCCCTCAAATTTCCAAGATTGAGGCTTCAATGTGTTATGAAAACAGATGAAAGAAGGGGTTATGTTGCCTGGGATGGAGTGAGGAGGTGGTAGGAAGACTCAGAGGATGAGTAAGAATTTACTGGTTACAAAAGAGAGGAACATTCTATGCTGAGGGGCCCCTAGGTAAGCAAAGATACCACAATGTTAAATTTAATGGGGGATTTGGGGACAGTTAGATGTAGCTCTTGTGGAGGTAGGATGTGGGGGATGGTAAGAGTTGAAGCAAGACGAGTTGGCTGAGGACACATTGTAAAGAGCTTTCCTTTTGGCATAAAATCAACCAATGCTTTATCTAAAGAGACATAGACAGTGAATTAGAGGCTGCTCCAATCACTCAGGCAGGAAGCAATGTAATTACTTGTAAAAGGTTGGAACACTGGAGGATAACATTAAGGCAAAGAGCTATTGGGGTGGGGGTAGGGGCCAGAGTGGTGAATAAAAGATAAAGAGGAAAAATAGAGAAGAGAAAAAAAAAAAGAGGAGACATCTTGTTCAGATCTAAATGATGAATTCCAGTATCCTAAATGAGATTCTGTTGAGTTGGGTTCTGCCTCCTCAAGAAGGTAGAGCTCTCCTTACAGATGTTCCCAGAGTTGGCCAGCACCTCTCAGTAAAGTGGAGGATACTGGGAGCAGAGAAGGCCCTAGGAATCGGGGTCAATTAACATGGGGGCACAGCAGGAAAAGGACCACCAGTGATGAAGGCAGCAAAGGATTCCAAGAAGACCTGGGAAGCTGGATGAGATCAGACTTAATGGGCTGATTGGGCATTAACATGTCCAATTCTGCCTGGTCATTTAGGGAAGAGACTCAATTCAGGGCTGGGCTTACAAATCAAGGACTAGTGACCTAGATCCAACCACATTGAAGATGTAGTGGTGGCTGTCAAAGGGCTTCAGTTTCCTCTCAGGACACTGGTGCAGGAAAGTAGAAGGATCAGTTGCTTGCAGAGGAGAAAATGGAGGTCAGTATGCTTGGTCACTGTCCTTCTAGTGAGCTTATAGCAGTGGTCAAGGTCAGAGGTTAAATGTAAGGAAGGCAAAAGAGCCAAGCTAATGATTGTACCCCACCTACAGGCTAAGGCTCAGCAAGCCATCTTTTTCTTTCCATTGAGTAGAACTTGCTCTGAATGAAGATGGTTAGTTGGCTACTATATGTCGGTCGAAGTTGTGACTCTCTCCAAAGTGAGTTTAAATTATTTTATTTTTTATTTTTTTATGAAACAAGAACATGAAAGTTTCCACTCCTGGTCTGCCCCATGGCTCATCAATCCTAATTGGTTAGTGGAGCAAGCTGTGGGCTTTACTGCCTCAGGGATCGCAACAAGTGAAGCTCTCCAACTAAGGCTGTGTGTGGGCAGTTAGAGCAGAGAGACCAAGCTTGTCCTTATGAAGCTGATGACTTAGAGAGAGTGGTGTGCGACCTGAATCACTGGTGGGCAGAGAGGGAGAGCCTGCCAGACTGGACAGAAGGGCTCTGAGGCCAAGCTCTCCGGAGCCCACACCAGACACATCGGGGCTACAGCAGCTTGCGGACTTGTGCTGCAGTCGAGGCCTCCCACTGCATTCTTACAGACTCTCCCATAATTCTTTAGACTTCATTAGTACTGCATGGGTATTTCACTGCAAAAGCAATATAGACATGCCATAGAAGACCAAGAAAAAGTTGACCCACCATCCTGACCCCCCAAAAGTTAATGTGACATAATCAGAGTTTTCCTCCCCTGGACCTCACCCATCTTAGGTCACAGTCTCAAAGTTAGGACTTGAGGTACTCATGGAAGAAAATTGACCAGAGCACCTTTAGCATAAGACTTTATTCAAAAATGCCAGGCATGAGAAGTTTCCAAAAGAGCATTCTCACCTGTGGAAGAAGGCTAAGTCAAGCAGTGTTTTTTATAAGGATTTAAGAGGAGGGAGGAACCGAAGTTCAGCTAATTTGGGGAATAGCTCAAAGATGGTTCTCAGAAACAGGAGAAATTGTTCTCAAGGATGAGAAGCCACTGTTTGTGATTTTACCAAAAAGGTGAGGAGGAACAGTTAGGGGCTCAGGTCACATTGAAGAGAGATGGAGAGGACATCTAATGGCGGGGCAAGGACATGCAGGGGCCACACAGGATATTTTGTCTTTTAGTGTCTCTTGCAGGGACCAAAGGCAAACCCAGGTCCTCTGACTCCTGACCAGACTTCTTCCCACATCCCATAGAAGCCCCCAACCTTTCCCGCTTTGGTAATGATTGAGAAAGAACCATGGGTATCCTGGACTCACCCATGGAAGGAGAGGTTAAGATAAGTAAACGCCTGAACAACAAAGGCAAAACATGGAAGGTTTTACAACTTTGCCCCAGGGATGTGATGTCCCTTCAACTGGACCAGAGCCTGCAGGAGTTCAGTTCTGTGTACTGCTGGCCTGCAGCTACAGGTGAAGGCAATTCTGCCACTAGGGACTGAGAAAAGTCAAGGGCTTCCTTACAGGAGTTCCATTTCCTGATAGCTCTGGAAGCATCACTGTATCAATAATTGTTGTTGTTCGTCTTAATAAAACTCTTCTGAGCTCAATCCTCAGATTTTTCAGCTATCAGCCTGAGTGGCCAGTCGTGCAGCCCATTGTACCTCGCCCCTCACGTGGGATAATCAGTCCTGTGCATATCAGAGCTTTCATTTTTTTTCTTGCTGTGCCTTTAAGAGCTACAGGAATGCAAAGAGTCTGGAGAAGGGGTGGGGTCTCCCAACAGGACTTCTGGGGAAAGGATTCTGGGAATGTTTGCCAGAAATGAAGCTGAGATTCCAACTCTGAGAACTTGGGGGTGGTGTGTGTTGGGTCAGGCCTGTGATTGGACTGCAGAGTCCACTAGCGAGGAGGAAAGCAAAAGTAAAAGCTGGGGAGAAGGGAGAAGCCCTTACACCCACCCCAATGCACACTCACCCAGGCCTAGAAGCAGGGTGCAGCCCACTAGCCTCTGGAGGGTCAGCGTGTGTCTCTGGGTGATGCCAACAGATGCTGGACCCAGGAAACTCTCTACTCCAAGTCGCCCTGCAAGGCCTCCAGGGACCAGCTTGCCAACAGCTGGACTTGATCACCAGCTTGCAAAGTGAGGTCACCCATCTGGTGGAATAACAAGCGGACTTCTCTCTCCAGCTGTTTTTAGAGGATTTTCACAACAGTGGCTAGAAAGCAGGAGACCACAACCTGGACCCTTGCGTCTTCTTTGAGAGACACAGCATAGGTGATCCCACGCCTGCGTGCTTTGCAGGACAATGATGGCCCTTCAGCAAGCTTCTGCCTTCCTGGTCCTGTTCCTCGCAGCTTTCCTGCCCCCGCCGCACTGTGCTCAAGACCCAGCCATGGTGCACTACATCTACCAGCGCTTTCGAGTCTTGGAGGTAGGTGGCATCTGAGCACCTGATCCTGGAACATGCCTCCCAGAAGTCACCCTGTCTTAACCAGTCTTCCCTATCTACTGGGGTGCATTTTTTCCCCAGATAGTACACGATAAACACATCACTAAAGTTATACTTGTAAAGTTTTATAGTCTAGTGGCTTAGAGCACCAGGGTCCAGACTGCACTACTCCCAGACTTTTTGTAGGGCTTCCCTTGGTGCAGTTTTTCTCATCTATAAAATATGGATGATAATAGAATTTACCTCCTAAGGATATTCTGAAGATTTAATAAATTAACCCATATTTATTTAGAATATGGTCTGACATGCTGGTAAATGTCCAAAATGTTATTCAAAGTTCAATTTTTAAAATATGAAAATTTAAACATTTTGCCACTGTTTCTTCATTTTTACTATATCAGGATGATAGCCGATTTTAGCTTTTTGTCTTTTTCTGATAAACCTTTAGGTCACTGTAAAAAGTCATGATATTATTGCACCAAGAAGCTTCTCCTGCCAAATTGGATTTGGATTTAGAAATGAGTAGATTTCAGCAATGTTAAACAGAGGGAGAGTATGTGGGCCCTGTTCTCCAGATGTTGCAGCTACCACTTCATTAAAATTTGCAAAACCCAATTTTTTTGCGGCACAAACAGGTTCCCAGGGACAAATGTAACCTTCTGCCCTAAACTTTGACACAACCCTGGTGTTGACTTTGACTATTTCATACCTAATTGCCTTGCTTTTGCACAAATTAAATTTTGATGAATTATTTATCTTCTTTCGAAGACACCCCAATGTTTATTTTTAATATTTTCCTGAAAAATCTTAAAGTCTAAATTATTCGGTCATCTAGTTACAGTCAGGGTAAAATAGTGCCACACCGAACACAATTCCTAACATTGTCCAGTCAACAGACTGAGGCTAGCGGTGGTGGATGAAATGTTCCCAGGCCAGTGGCCTCTTGCTTCTTCACTTGCTGTCTCCTCAGGCACCTCCTCCCCAGTTTCACCTCCTTAAAAGTGTCAGAATTGTGCTCAACTACTATATTTAATATTGATTTGCCCAGCATTTTAAAATATATATTTATATATCTATGACTGAATGCATGGAAAAACTTAAAAATTTATACACTGAAGAATCAATAGTACTTTGAGTTAAAGAATTATGGGTGATTTTTATTTTCCCGCTATTTGATTATCTGTATTTTAAAAATCTTTTTATGAATAATAGCTATTTTATTAGTTGGGTCATTTCAAAACTAGCAGTAATTTGAAAATTTATTTTCTGACCAAAGCAAGGACTACAAAAGTGTACACAAGCAACAAGGGCATACATTCAAGACTTCCGTGAGTTCTCAAAAAACATATCCGTTATGCTGGGACGATGCCAGACCTACACAAGTGAGTATAAGAGTGCAGTGAGTAACCTGGCACTGAGAGTCGAGCATGCCCAACGGGAGATCGACTACCTAGAGTACCTGCGAGAAGCTGACATATGCATAGAATCAGAGGAGAAGATCCTGACAGAAAAGCTAGTCCAAGAAGCTGAAGAAGAAAAAAAGATTCGGACTCTGCTGAATGCAAGTAAGAGAGCTGTGTCTTTTCTACCCATCTAGGGACTGTCACTCAGAGGCCTGGTCAGGAAAGGTCTGACCAAGTATGAGAGTGAGAGCTGGATGTGTGCTCTTGTGTGCCCATGCTGGGAGGGAAACCTGCACAGGGAACAGGTGTCCAAAGAAAAATCCATTCTCAGAAAGTAGCTTTTCCATTCACAGAGAGTTCTTAAAGGCCCCATAGAAGATCAGGACTACGATGTCACAGGTCAGCCCAGCATCTCCTAATAGACTTGGTTTGGAGAAGGTAGTGGTCCCAGATCCTTCCAGGAAGACCGACAGGTTGGTGGACTCTCCCAGTACCCTGGGAGTAGGGAGAGGCTGCAAACATGCAGGCAGCAGCCAACTCTTCGGGCAAAGGACTGCAGTGAATTAATACTATGTGTGCTATCAGGATGGTGATATCCAGGGGATTTGTTGCCTATCTTGTGATTCATCAGAATCATTTCCAGGCCATTAAGAATAATGTTTAGGTGCTCAAATTATAATAACAAATATTAAGCAACAAAAACATAAAAGTGAAGGGAAATGTCCTGTGCATGAGTCCATTTTATTAAAATAGTGAGGGAGACAAGTCCCCCAGCTCCAAGTCTGTATTCTGAGATGGTGTTTATTGCAAACAGGAAAACTTTATTTATAGTCTAATTATGCCTGTTCCAGATGTGAGAGACTCCATCAGGGAAAAAAGACACAAGCTGAATGCCATTGTTGTGCAAGGGTTTCAAATATCGTCTCAGTGTAACCCTTATAAGAACTTCATGGTCTTCCTAAATGAGATGACACTTGATCTGAGTTTTGAATGAAGAAATTAGAGAAGAATGTGCAGAGGGCACGTCCAGTAAGAGTACAACATGTCAAAGGCATGAGGGTATGTGACACTTGGACATGCAGATCTGCAGATATGGTTGAGTGGACCTATAGGGGGCAGGTGAGTGTAGGGAGCAAGATTGAAGAGTTCGGTAGAACCCAGATAATGAAAGACCTTGCATGTTAAGCTAAGAGGGCTGGACTTGACTTGAGAAACTATAGAGAACCATTGAACAGTTTTAAACAGGGGCATGACATGAAGTAAGAGGGCAAGACTAGAGAGAGGAGACCAAACAGGGAATGTAACAAGCGATGGTGTCTGCATGTAAGTAAGTGTCAGTAAGATGGAGAAGAACAGATGGATTTGAGAGCCATTGAGAGTTGGAATCCACATGGCTTGGTGACTAAATAACAGTGAAAAATGAGTGAGAAGGATGGGTCCCGGATGCTTCCCGGCTTTTTGGTTTAGGTCATTGGGTGGTTGGTCTGAAATATGTTGAGATAGGAAACTCAGGATGAGCTTTGGAGCTCTTGTTGCTCTTTTTTTTTTTTTTTTTGAGCACTTATTACTCCAAAATCTTCAGGTTCATTTATTTGCTCACTGCTTATTTTCTGCCTCTGCATCTAGAATGTCAGCTCTGTGAGAGCCTAGATCCTGCATTGCATATTCAATATTGTGTCCCAGTGCCTAGAATAGGGTTTATGTTCAACAACATTTGTCAATGAATAAGTGAACAAATGAATGGATGAATGGAAGGAGGGGTTGTCAGCACAGACAGAGGGCCTATTAGGCTTTAAAAGAGAAGAGACTATCTTACCTCTGAGTCAGAAGAGAGAGGAGGGTGCCTTATCTATAATAGGAAACAGTTGATCGAGTTGGCCAAGTAAGTGATCTTTTTTTGCCCTGACACTGTCTTGAGATGAATCATCCTCTGAGGAGCAGCTGGAGCTAAGCATGGGGTGAGGGAAGGAGGGAAAGGGTAAGGATGAGCCAGCAGAGGATGAATAGAGGCTGTCCAAAAAGCTGATGGGGAGAATTGGGTGCCATTGTCTGAGCTACTTTAGAAAGTGCCTGAACTTTCGTGTGCCAGGGGTCAGGCAGGACCCCAAGCCTGAACAGTTGTACTGGATTGGATCCCTTAGCTGCCCCTGGTCCCTGAACATACTGAGTCCCTCAGTCCTTGAGGTTTCCCCTTTCTACAATAGCTCAAGCTCAGCAGAGGTCCTGAGTTTGGACTTGCTGCATTTTCAACCCTCATCCTCTGCCTTATCCCTCACACACTGGAAAGTATTCCCTCTCCCAGCTCCATGATGAGTGAAAACTTCTCTTTCAACTTTTCAGAGATTGCCCCTTCCATGCCTGTTGCCTCTGGGGCCCTCATTTGGTGATTTGTCAGTTTATGATTAACAACCACCTTTTGCCCCCCGCTATTGGATGGGCCCTGTGCTACACAGTAGGGACAGAGGAGTGAGTAGAACACGCTACATCCTGCACTAGCTTTCTTACTGCTTCTTGGCCTCTGGGCTTGCCTCCTACAATCCTTCTGCTATCATGCAGACCTTCCCACAACACAAAATGGATCACATTATTCTTCTAGGTAGAAATCTTTTTATTTTTTATTTATTTTATTTTTTATTTTTTGCAACCAGTTATCAGCAACAAAAAAATCCATTCAACTCTCTTAGCCTTTTATACGGGGAAGGGCCTTCACATAGTGGCCCAAGCTCATCTCCAGCTTCTTCTACTCCCATAACTTACCCACATGGAGGGCAATTAAAATATAAATATTGTTTTTTCTACCCACCTGTTATGACTCAAAAATGCTGTGGATTCTCTGTGAAGACTTTCACACACACACACCCCACCACCAGCAGCAGATTGTCCTATCTCGTTGAGTCATCCAAGGGAGCACAAACACTTTCAACCACACATATCTGTGTGTATTTGATTCCTCAACCAAACTACTAACATATTGCCGTCTTCATGTCTGCATTCACAGAGTCTGGGTCAGGGACTCCCATGGAGGAGGCTGTAAAAAGTTTCTATAGAGGAGATACTGACGGCATAGGACCCTCTAGTTTAGGGAAAGACAAACCTGTAAACAATCACAACCATGTGGTTAGTGCCTCTTGGCCTATTATTTTCAGAGGTTCTCTGCCCAAAGATAGACTTTGGAATGTCGATATATTTCCCTGCCTTGCACTGTTTTGTATTTTACATACTGTGCCCATCCCCCACGTTTTTGCCACTTCTGTTATTAACAATGCCTATCTTAGTTTTCTAATGCTGTGTAACAAATTACCACCGATTTAGTAGCTTAAAACGATCTTAGCGTTTCTGTGGGTGAGGAATTCACACAGCTTAGTTGGACCCTTTGTTTAAGGTCTCACTCAGGAGGGTACAATGAAGATGTTGGCTGGGCTACATTCTCACCTGGAGCTCAGGGTCTTCTTCCGAGCTCACCAAGGTTGTTGGCAGAATTCGCTTTCTCGTGGTTGTGGGGCTGAGGCCCTCAGCTTCTAGAGGCCGCCCCTCTCCATAGGCAGCTCAAAAAGTGGCTGTTGCTTCCAGGCCAGGAGGAGATTGCCTCTCTTCAGGAAGTGGCCAGACCCTCTTTCAAGAGTTTTTATCTGATTTAAGGCAGGCCCATCCATAATAACCTTCCTTTGGGTTAACTCAAAGTCAGCTGATTTGGGGCCTTACTTATATCTGCAAAATCCCTTCGGCTTTATCTTGTAATGTAACCTAGTCAAGGAATGCTATCCTGTCATATTGCCAGGTACTGCTCTCACTCACGGGGAGGGGATTATATAGGGGTGGGAATCTTGGGGATCACCTTAAAACTCTGCCTACCAAGGTGCCTTAGTCGGCTAGGCCCAGCTGGTGCCACTATAACCTGTACGTACCCGCCTTCTTCCTACAAGGCTCTGATCTTCCTGACTTCTAATCTTGGCCGACAGGGACTGAGCCACCTATGGAACTTCCACTAAAATCCTTAAGACTCAAGTCAATGCCTTGGCATTATGGGCCAGAGGTCACACCACAGGGTTTAATTCATACATACACTCTGTCTTAGAGAGTTTCTTCGGAAAACCTGTAGGGAGAGGATAATGCAGCTTCTTTGGAAAATTCAACCTTGTGTCTCAGGAGACTTGCAGAAAATTCTAATATCCGTCTAAATGGTTCTAATTTATTCTAGGAATGTTTCTTGGTCAACTATGAAGGGCCAGATACTAAGGATAATTAATAAGATATTATTAATTATATCTCAATGATATCTTAATAACAGCTCCCTATAGAGCTGTTCCCACGTAGTCAACCTCTACTTAGAGAAGATCCTCAAAGATGTCACATGAGGGCCACAATCCCAGGGATGTTTACTGTTACATAAAATTTTTAAACTCTTTTTTTTAAAAAAATTGGGGAATTGGGGGAGGGGAACAGTGTTGGGGAGTTGGGGAGGGGGACCAGCCAAGTTGTTGTTCTTCAACCTTAGTTGTGGAGGGCGCCAGTCGCCATCTGGCTGCCCGTTGGCAGCTCGTGGCCTCTAAGCTCAAGGTGCTGTGTTCAATCTTAGTTGCAGCTGGGCGTAGCCACCATCCCATTCGGGAGTCGAACCAGGAGCCTTGTTGTTAAGAGTGCACGCTCTATCCACTGAGCCATTGGGTGGCAGCTCAGCTCAAGGTGCCAAGTTCAGTCTTAGTTGTGGGCAGCCATAGCCCACCATCAAACAGGTAGTCTTGTTAGGAGCACATGCTCTCACCAGCTGAGCCATCTTGCCACCTGTTGGCAGCTCAGCTCGGGCGCAGCATCACTGGCCCATGTGGGAATTGAACCGGTGGCCTTGTTGCTAAGAGCTCATGCTCTTTCTTAAGCTAACTCTTAACCAACTGAGCCACTCAGCTGGCCCAAAATTCTTAAACTCTTAATTCTAACACACATATATGTTCTTTTTCTCTCCCCCCACTTCCTTCCTCCTTCCCTCTGCCTTTCACATGTGCACCCACACACAGCCACACACTTTAAAATGCAGTGAGTGAAAGTTACTTGAATACAATCTAACTTATATTTAAAAATCATTCCAAGTCTTTGGTTCTTTAACTCTTATTAGTATAAAGAAATTTGGTATTGCATTTGGCAATTTATGGCAAAGCACCATTGCC